ATCATTATACTATTAAACATTTTCTGATTCATGATGCTAAGCTGTTATAATCATTACTTAAGTCGCAGTGCAGTAAAAGTGTCAGCGCCTCAACGACGCAGCATTTTGTTATTTGAAGTCCTTGACACTGGCGTTTCAGGTATTGTCTGGCTGTTCCTCTCTGCTTGATTGGCACCAAACATTCTGTTGACAGGAGAGTTAACTGACTGGTTTTTAGTCATCATTTAATGCCACATTACAGCCATACCACTTTTCCAGTCTATCAGATAAATCCAAACCGTCTTTCCGGCTACTTGGTTTGTGCGCTGACATGTGCAGATAGCATTAAAGGCAGAAGAGAAACAGTTCTGTCTTTTTTTATATGAAAACAAAACATAGATGATTTGGATATTTTTGGTTCCAAGTGAAATCTGGGTTTTCAAAGATGAAATTGCATTTGATCTGATTCAATTGTATGAAGGTCAGCCTCGCCTAAGAAGAAACTGAAAATAAAAATACAACCGGTTTCTAATAACCAACTGACAAAAGAGTGAAAACAGTTACGGAGATGATTTATGACAGATTTTGCAACACAGTTAATGTCAAATGGATATAAAATGCTTTGGAGCTCTTTTACTACAGCTGGTAAACATTATCGTTATGAGTCAACCTCTCAGTACAACCAGGATCCGTCTTTTCATGTACTCCAGAACGAGACGCTGCATCGCTTTGCCCTGGTGAAGCCTTTGCTCTCTTCTTTACTACAATCACTGCGACTATCACCCCAGCCACCAGCAGCGCCACCAGTCCTCCCCCCACAGCATACGGCATGACGTCAGGGCCTTCCGACGGTTGAACTGGGGCAGGAATCACCGGTGTAAAGGTCACAGGCTTTAAAGTCACACCACCTCTCTGCTTCAAAATGGTCAAAATGGTCTCCTGTTTAGAGATGCAACTGTCTGCGTCATGCCAGTCTCCGCCATCACTGGACTTATATTCCCCTGCATCTCCCTCATAATCATAATCTTCTTTATAATATTTCAGAAACACACTAAGAACAACACAACAGTATTCCCCTTGGTCTTCCATCACCAGGTCGGAGATCATCAGCGAGGAGCCACTCTCAGACAGAGTCAACCTGCCGCTCAGGTCCTCTGGGATGGCAACAGTTTCCTCCTGTGAGTCATGGATGAGTTCCTGCTGCCCTGATGGCTTGTTGCGGTACCACTGCACTCTTTCCAAATCGCCATGTTCAGAACTGCACTCCAGCGAGACGTTTCCACCCTGAAGCACAACTTTTTCATTGGATTGCTTTTTGGGGCAAAGAGTCAACGAGTACTGCAACTCCATCACAGTGGAGGCGCATGAATACTCGCCGCTGTGTTCCTCAGAGACGTGAGGAATAACCAGTGAGAAGTCTTCTGATTCTTTGCCTACTGATATGTACATCTTGGTGTTGCTCACGCTGCTGTCATTGATTCGCCCCAGCGGTGTGTCCCATTGCTGGTCATTTCCGTCAGCGGGACAATTGAGAACCACTTTGTCCCCTTGTGAGGCAAAAATCTCCCTGTTTTCACTGTGGTATGGAGGGTGCATGTTTTGGAAACTGAGGCAGTTCGTACCTTTGATCACAAGACAATAAAAGTGCTGGTTATTCTTTAACAGGCTGCTGTTGAGCATGAGGAGCGCCCCGCTTTCTCTGACCTCCACAGCACCCTGCAGCTCCTTCACCAGAGGCTCCAGTGAAATGCTGCTGTCCAGGAAGAGGGTGGGCCTGTAGGATGGATACACTTCATGGTACCAGCTCACAGAGATTCCCTCCAGACCAATGGATGTGTTGTTGCACAGAATCTCAGCCCCTCCGTGTCCCTCGTTCTCAATTATCTCTTTAGCTTCAATCTCCTCATTGCACACAAAGAGCTGCTGTGCGTGCTGGTTGACCAGCATCTGATTCTGCCAGCATTCCCTCCTATAAATCCCAGAGTCCGAGTGTGTGAGGTTACCGATCTGCAGCCCGAGCAGGTTGATGTCTTTGCTGATACGAGTGCGACCCTGTAGGTCTGCAGGAGGCGTGTGGGGCATGTTCTCGTTTGAAGAGTTGCCAAGCAGCTGGTCACCGGTGGGGGAAGATCGATAGACAACAATGTAATCCACTCCGAAACAATATCCCATCTCAATAGCGTTGCCCTCTGCCCTGAACACAGGCTCTGCCTCCTCACCCCGGACCTGGTGGAGGAGGAGGAAAAGCAGAAAGTCTACAAACCTGATGCAGGTCATGCTGTCTGTCTCTTCCAGGCCACTCTGGGTAGTGTGCTTACGCTAAGCCTCTTTCAATATAACCACCTTAGTTTGTAAACTTAGTTCCGCCTCCAGCTTTTATCAGATTCCTCCTCTTTCACATTCTTCCACAGGCGCTCTCAGCCCCAGAGTGACAGCAACTGAACAAACACACAAATGCATTCGCAGTTACGCAGACACACACGACAAGTTGCTGTATGAGTGACAGCAGCAGGTGGAAAGGCGTTAGAGTAATTAAAGACATTCATTTATTCGTGACAAGTCTGTAACAACCAATAAGGCTGAACAAAAGCCAAGAGACAGAACAGAAGTTATGGTCCTGGTTGTAGATTAACAGTGTTGACTTGTAGTTGGACAGGTTTTCGCTCCGCTGTGTGGGTGTGGTGAAAGACCATGAAAGGTGTGTTTATTTGAAACCGTCCTTGTCTGTAAAATCCGTGCAAGCAGGCTTCATTGCACATCTGCAAATGCATGAAGTGCATGTTTTCTGTACCATCATATGCTATCATTTGTTTTCTGCAAAACAAATCTACCCACGGGTCTTAATAAAGTAACCATGAACCTAATCTGAACTAAATCTGCGTGCATCAGGTCAACAGCAGATAATGTTTCTGTTGCATGGCAGCTCTCGGTTTACTTTTTGTCACTTTGAGGCCACACAGAACTACAAGTCTTTTAATTGGTTTTATCAGTTCCTCATAGTGTAAAAAGTGAACAATATGCTAAATAATAAAACAGCTGATAGATGAGAATGTGCCCTGTTGTTCTAAGATACTCTCAAGTCAAGCAGCACGTCAGTATAAAGAGAAACATGTGCTTCTACCAGTGGCCTCAAACAAATGTGTTTCATATTGTTCATATTATGTTAAGTTCTTATATAAGAAATGCATGATTTATTTTTAATTGGACAACATGGAAGGGAATGTTAAATCTGTTAAAACGAAACCACCCAGTTTGTTGTATAATTAGATATCGAGCTGGGTAAGTCTTCTGTCCATTGTATTATATGTCAGCACTAATAAAAAGCAGACTTTGATCTGCTATGAAACAAAGGAGCACAGCGATGATTTACTTATCTTATTACTCGACTCCTTCACTCTGTGAATGCTGCTTTTCAGCTGATAAATAAGTGTAACTGTACTAATCTAAAAATCAATACTTCTCTCTCTGTTGTTGCATTCCAGCTTAAATACCTGCCTCTACAGCGCACAGCATGGAAATCACAACAGGGAAAACACAAGGTTAAACCCGTGGGACACAATGCAAAGCAGACTTTCTCTTTTACGCTGCAGATGAAATAAACAGTGACTGGTCACGTCTTTGTTATTCAAGTCTGCTTTTACCAACAACTGCCTTGTGCAGGCTGTGTTGATGAAGCAGGCTCTCCTTCGATATCATTCTCTCAGTTTCTCATGTTGCAAATGTGAGAGTTTGTTCTAGCATGTAGGTGGTGTTCTGGTTTTGTCCGTCCAAGTTGGATTAAGGTCGGTAAAACTGACCCTGAGATTCCCAGAAGGAGAGCTGGTGAGATGATGGAGTTCGTGTGTGAAAGATGCCACTGTCCATGACAAAACTGCTGTTCATTTTCTCTCTTGCTGTTGCTATTGATTGGTGCTGTATCCTAGTTACAGTTGCATGTTCAATCCAGAGCAATGCGTGTTAATAAACACAACAAACTTACGCTAAGTATGTGGCAATATGTCTCTGTTTGAAGTCTGGCTTAGTCATGCAAAAATCTACACATTTATCAGAGCAGCTTGACAGGAGTCCACAGGCTCTGTTTCATTGAGTCTGTTCATTTTGGCTTGTCCTCTTTTGAAATCCCTGTTTATATATTAAATTCCTCATTCCTGCTGAAGCACGACGAGCATTGTAGCGAGGAGGGCGAGATGCTGATTACATCGCCCGAGTAAAAGCGACGTAAACAGTTAACAGGTTGACTGGAAATAGAAGAAGAGTGAATGGCACTGTTTACTCTGCAGGCTCACATGTTGTTTTGATTCCTCTCCAAAGAAAGTTATTTCCCATGACACTCGTGCAGCTCAGTGGAGATGCTTTAAAAATCAAATCTATAGCTCCCTTTTATGTGTATCTGCTTGGACGCAATCTGTCTGTCTGAGAGGCCCAAACACTATTGATAGACTTTTCAGTGCACTCTGATGGCCGGCTCACTCCCGCCAACACATCAGACATTGAAAAAAAAAGCACCAACCTGCTTTCCTTTGAGGCATATCATCTGTTTACTAGAACATAAACTATAATGAACCCAGATACTCACTCAGCTGCAGCAGCTCCCGTGCTGCTGAGGGAACAGCTTGCAGAGCTGGTGATCAAGCATCATGATTAAGCACCAACTGCGAGAAAACTCTCCGTGTGTTCAGTCCAATTCAGCCCGGTGCTGATTACACTCATCAGAGCCCCGTATGCTGCAGGGTTTGGAGATGCACCAACTGCTGTTTGAGATACAGATTTTTGCCAAAATTATTTAATTGCTGGACATATGGGCTGCCATAAAGAGGCAGGGCTTTGAGAAGATGAGACAAATGGGGGCAATATGAATATGAAATCAAACAATACGCTTCTACTTTTTTTTTTTTTTTTTTAAATCATTCTGAATGTAAATTTCTTTTTCTGCTTCAGGGTCACATTTCAGTTTTTAGTGAGGGGCGCTTAGCTGCAGTACCGGCGGTCGCCTCTGAGTGTCGCTGTGGCTAAAAGACAACACAGACACACTGTAGATGAAGAAATCAGTGTCATAACAAAACCTTACATCAACTGACCGCTGCTAAAGGTAACTCACTTTCTAGTTATATTTGACAGTATTTACACCCCTAAATCCAATAATAAGTGGTCGATGTTACGTTAAATCCCGGAGAGAAATCATCCGATATCAGTAATTATACCGGCGCTGCTCCTTTCCCTTGTCCAGCTGTTAGCTAGCAGGCTAACACCTAGCATGATTCTTCAGTTTAAAATGTTGAGGCTCTACATGCAAGAAAGCTTTTATCTTTGAATAAACGTCCTCAATGACCAGAAAAACTCTGGAAATGTGTTTTATTTATTCACTGTGGTGTCACAATGAGCTGCTTTCGAGTGTGTCATATAATCAGGTCGGCTCATGCTTCTCCACTTTTCCCTTTTTCAAACATCTGGTAGCAGCTGTGCGGACGAACCATCGTGTTCTGTTGGTGAATGCACGGCTGAGATGAGTGGCAGCACAAAGCAGCTGAGTCACAGCTGGAAGATTAATGTTTTATAGAGATAAAGAGCTCGTCAAGCTTAGAAATAATGCAGGTAGATCCTCACACAGGTAGAAAACACACTGTGGAGAGCATGTCTTTGTTGTTGTAGTTTATACAAGACGCACTGCTGTGTGTGTGCTCAGGCTTTCGTTTAGCTCTCTGTGTCTCTCAGTCAGTCAATCATCCATCCATTATCTATACACCTTAATCCTCACTAGGGTCATGGGGGGCTGGAGTCTATCCCAGCTGACTCAGGGTGAAGGCAGGTTCACCTGGACAGGTAACCAGTCTATCACAGGGCTACACTTAGAGACAGACAACCAAGCACACTCACATTCACACCTACGGACAATTTAGAATCACCAATTAACCTCAACAGAACTTGCAAACTCCACGCAGAAAGATCCCAGGTGTCCTCACCGGGACATGAACCGGCGACCTTCTTGCTGCGAGGCGACGGTGCTAATCACCAAGCCACCATGCAGCCCTGGTTGGTTATCAACTTAACGCTAATCAAATTACTTGCATCTTCACTCCATCTATAGCAGTACACTGAGTATCTTTGCTATTTCCTGACAGTTTAAAAACAAAACAGCTAATTGAGAAACTATTTGACAGAATAACCAGCAATGAAAATAATTATTTGTTGCAGCCTGAATGTATTTATCATTCCTAACACAAATAAAAGTATTTAATCGTCAGAGCAAAAGGGGTAAGAAATAAACAAACAATGAAAACAATCCACCCACCAAATCCCCTGTGAACAATAAGTTATAAATAAAGGACTCAATAAAATCAGGGAATGAGGAACTGAAGCAACAAAGCAGGATATAGACAAATAAAAAAAAATGAATAGAATCAATTAAAAAGTCAGACTGAAAGGGGAGGTGTTAAGTTTGCTTTTAAAAACAACAGCAGCAGCCCTCAGGTGTTCAGGAAGGCCGTTCCAGAGATGTGGACATAATAATATAGAACGATGCCTCGCTGTGGGTTTTTGGTCTGACCTTGGGTATCAATAAAAGACAACTACAGAGGTTTCTACAAGGTTCACAGAATAAAAGCAAATCTGATGAATAGGTTGGACCAAGACCATTAAGAGATTTATGTACCATTAAAGTGACCATAAAATAACTTCTATAGCAGACAGCAGTGCAGAGACGTTTAGATTGGTGTCATATGTCCTCGTCTTCTGGTCTCATGAGTTTAAAGCAATTGTTGTTCAGATATTTTATCCGGTGTGTCCCCTGGCTCTGCATGTTAAGAATACGTTTTATCACTGCATGAAATTTACGAGGGTAATAAAAGTCCTGATTGTCAGTCCTGTCGGGTCGGGCCGCGTTGGACGTTTGAGCTCACAGAGCATTAAAAGAGTTACTGCAACTGTTTGACAAGTGTAAAAACTGGCTGCTGTGAATGTGCCTGTTCCAGCTGTACTTTGCTCTGCTCACCTCAGAGGAGGATTTTATTTTATTTTGCTGTCACCTACTCTTATATGTTTTCCTCCACCTTGTTCCTCAGGTGATCCGTCTCTGGACTCAATGCTGCGCTTGATCGCAACATCGCTGTGCCTCCGGTGCCAACATGTCACAGCTCTGCCTCTAAACCTCAGGCCATGTGCAACACTCAGCTCAGCAGAGAACCAGCAAACCGTGGAGGCTCTTTATGATCTGTCTGTTAACATCCAGAAGATCCGGAAACTTAAGGGCTGGGTGCTGCATCAGAGTCCAGCCTATACTAAGGAGGTCGCCGACCTGCTGAGGAACATGGGGGCCTCAGGCCCCATCATTGCTCGTATCTTAGGAGTTCATCCAGAAGCTGTCCTCTGTAATCCGAAGCACATGCAGTCTCAGAGGGAGCTGTGGATGTCTGTGTGTCCAAACCAGAAAGAGCTGGTTGGTATCATTGAGAAATTTCCAGCCTCCTTCTTCACTTCCTCCAGCCACCATGACAACCAGCGGAACAACATCGCTTACTTCCAGAGCTTAAACCTCAACAAGCGAATCATCACCAAACTCATGGCCAGCGCTCCCCAGAGCTTCAGCCGGCCAGTAGAGCAGAACGAGGTGATGGTGTGCACCCTCCAGCAGGCCTACCGGGAGCTGGGAGGGGAGGAGGCCAATATGAAAATCTGGCTTCAGAAGCTGCTGAGCCAGAACCCGTTTGTTCTTCTCAAACCTCCGGAGGTGCTGAGGCAGAACCTGCTGTTCCTGAGAGACAAGGGCTTCAGCACAGCAGAGCTGCTCCGACTCCTCTCCAGCCTTAAGGGCTTCGTCACTGAGCTGAACCCAGACAGCATGCGCTCCACTCTGGCGTACTCCCACGACACCATCGGCTGCTCTGAGGCCGAGCTGCGGGACATCATCCTCAAGTGCCCGGCTCTGCTTTACTACCCTGAGTCTATTCTGGCCGAGCGCTTTGAGGGCCTCCTCAGCGCTGGCATCAGCATGTCTCAAATCACAGAGACTCCGACTGTCCTGGAGCTGACCACGCAGATAGTGAACTATCGCATCCAGCGCCTGAAGGCACGCGGTTATGATGTCAGGACGGGCAGTCTGCAGGTCCTAAACGGCACGAAGAAAGACTTTGAGATGAGCTTTGGAAAACTACAACTCCGCAGAGAGAGACCACTTTTCAACCCTGTTGCACCTTTAAAAGTAGATGACTGACATACATAGACTATTACAAGCATGAATTTAAAGGGATATATACCGTTATGGTTATTTATTTATGTGCTTTGTCTGTATCAGATAAAAGTGTCTAAAGGTGCATTCACTTTATACTCTGATAAGATTTATTTCTCTGTAACTGGACAAATTACAATGGTGCTGTTTGAACTTTGTGGTACATCTTATCAGCGAAGATGCCTTCAGTTGCAAACCAACTACCTCCTGATCTTAAAATCCTCCAGTAAATCAGTTTGAAGACTGGAGTTTCATTCAGTTGTTTTCATCCTGCTTTCAAAACTGCATCACACTCAGCTCAAGGTATGACACAGAGAATCCGTTTTAGCTCCATCTCTGCTGCCAAAGTCTCCGACCTTGTGGGATGAAGAGCAATCACAATCCAATTAACAAGCTACTTATGAGTCCATTTTTTCTTTTTTTGTTTTTTTAAATTAGCTACTGCGAATTTTAACACCAAAGGCAAAAAAAAGACAAAGTACCTCAAAGAAAACTGTGATCACACCTTAACCATTCAGTTTTCATCACTGGAGTCTGTTGGCGTCACAACAGGAGGAGTGGTGCGGTTTTATTGCAGGTATAAAAGAGATAAGGATGGACAAGATAATGGCTTCCCACAGCGATATCTGAAAGTGAAACAAATGCAGTGGAATTACGATGTGTCACAATTTGTAGGGAAGATGTCGTCTCGTCAAATAAAAAGAAAACGATTGCAGCTTATTTACAAGTTACCTCATTACAATAACTTCACATAAAAACGCTGCGTGACGAAACAGCGCAATGACAGATGTGCTGACTCGTCTGTCAAACGTATTACCGAGTAGAACTGAGGACGAACAAGGCTTTTCCAGCCATTTTATTTACAGCCTGTGGAAGTGTCTCATTTTCACACAATGTTCTTGGCAGCACAACTGTTCCCCTCGGGGATGGAATCTAACCGTGTCTCACATTTTTATTGTTATTCTACAGATGGAGACACTTTGTAATAAGCTATTTCACTACTAAAATGTCACTTCATTATCATTTCAAATGAATTTTAATGCACCCACACGAAATAAAAAAAAAAGAAAAGGAAAATGAAGTTCCTTTGATTTGGATCGGAAGTGGTTTATTTAATCACACTCTGCAGCCTTTGATGCAATCTTTGTACAGAAAGCAGTTGAGTTTCTATACATCTATGAAACATTGATCTTCTATTTAGTGCGGCGTTATTAATTAGAGGTTTTCATGTTGTCTAGTTCCAAAAAGAGCACTTTTGGCCGAGTGCCCACATTTATTCTAGTGTAAGCCACAAAATCAATAAACAATCATGCCGAGCATTGTCTAAACCAGGAGAGGGCACGGCGAGATGCTCCCTGTCTTGTTTTAAAAGCCGGCGAAAGCCCTTGAAACATGCTTAAGAGTGGCTTTTAATGGGAGCGAGCATCACAGCTAATGAAGCCATGACTTTATGCCTCAAGGTTCCCTCGCAATGTTGACGACGGGGGTCACAACAAAGAGAGAGAGGACTTGTGTGTCCACGGGGGTGGGGGTATACGTTAACAACTTCCACTTCCCATCTGCTGTCGTCTGCATCGCTCACCATGGTCCCGTAGTCATGGCGATAGCCACTGGGCAGATGATGCAAAAGTGAGTGCATCTGGTAATGAATCTGAGCTCGGCAGATGGATGCTTGACTAGAGTTCATTTTCCGACCATTCACAACACGGAACCCCTGAGGGCCTCCGACATTACCTCAAGTACACTGCAGCTGACGTACCGGAGGTTTCTAATTTTACACTGACATTTGCTTTAATTCATCACGTTGCAAGGTTACGTCTTTCACCAATGCTCAGTAATAAATACAAGGAGTTAATCAGGTGGCGTCAAGGTGAGGCGGAGGAGACGAGGCCTCAGGTGTGTAAATGCAAGTCACCTTGTGTTTCTTAGCCGGTGTCCTCTTGTCCTCCACCGACAGCCGTGTCCTCCTGTCCACAGCTCTTGAATTACACAGACGAGCCAGAAAGGTTAATAGGAGGGAGTATAAATTGTACTTTTTCATTTCAAACTCGCCACTGGTTGATATTAGCCACGCTTAACATGCTGCTTTTATGGGTCATATCTCACCAGAAACAGATGACATCTGCAATTAGAAGCTATGATTTCCAGCTGAAGCGGCGGCACGGACGACCACAGCCGCAGTAAATATTCCTCGGTTGAAGTCAGAGTGAGTTAAGCCGTGGAATTTTTATTTAGAAGTAATGATTTCAAAGGCGGCTTGTGTAGGTGGAAAATAACCTTTTTGCAACTTAAACATTCGACTGTGACTCAAAGGAAGAAAAGAAAAAAGCACAATATTTCATGCTCACTGCAAAAGAAAATCTAAAATTAAAATACTTGATTCCTCTAAATACAAATACCACTCGTGCATTTTTAGCATTACAAACCCATTCGACCCTATGCCGCGAGTCGCTCTGGAGTGTTTAAATACGCAGCATACTTGAGCGTGGCTTCATCTCAACTTTTCTCTTTCCGCATACACCAGAAAGTTTGTTTTCTGTCATTACTCGTCTCTCCAACCAACCTGCACCCCGATGACACAACACAAATACACTTTACATGCTGCAGGAGGAAAATAAACGTCACGTTGATGGACGTTCAATGACAGAAAGTAAATAAGTTTCTGTATCGAACGCTGCGTCTGAGATTCATAACTCTCAGCTCGTCTGTCACGAGTTGAAGTTTTACTTGAGGACGGCTGTGGTCTGCTGGGTGTCGCTGTCGTTTATTCATTCATGGCTGATTTTATCATTTCATCGACCGTTTGAAACGACGCTTGTCCCTGAGATGAGTCAAACCTGCCATGCTAGACATTAATCAGTGGTTTTGACTCAAGAAAATTTGACAGACAAACTTCAAACTAATGACTTTGTATTAGGAATAAGAGAAATAAGCACATAGCGAGTCTATTAAAAGGTATTTAAAACAGCTGTGCAACACTAACATCTAGTCATCTGTATTGTTGTATATGATAAATATTTTATTATACAGTTACAAATGGTTGTAAAGTGGGAGTAACTTCTGCAGTATAATCTGTAGTTTTTTATAACTCTTACTGTTACTACAAAAAGCCCTTTAGCAGCATCACAACACCTTTCCCAAGTGACAGCAGTCCCAATCATGGGATTACCTCTTTGTATATATTTGCATACTTTGACATTTTTCTATTTTTTTAATGCTACTTCTGTGTTACAGACAGGCCGAGCTCTTGTTGGACACTGACTCTGGTGATAAACCGTGATTCAGTAAAGCCTTGTTCAGCTGTCACTAATAGAATAATCCTTTCAGTATGAAGTGACCCTCCACCTTTGTCCCATCTCCTGGGTGTAAAATGAATGTTCTCCATTAAATATTGCCAAATAAGTGACACTGCAATGAGAAAAGACAGATGATCTCAGATGTGAGAGAAAAACAAAACAAAAAAACCCCAGTGATGAGTGATATCCACTGTAGAGGCATGTGTTAACTTGTTGATGCAGCTATTTGCACAGGCATGATGGTGGATGCAGATGTACGGGCCCCATATTTATACGCTCCGCCACCTGCTTCGGTTTCAGCACCCTGGGATTGCTCGTGGCGGCTCACTGTCGCAATGTAATGGCCTCCAGGGACATTAAAACAGAACAGATCTGTTGTTAATGTTATTAGTAACACCTGCGCTGTGAAAAATTACTAGCAGAGTTAATTGCACTGGGGTCCCTGGTGTGAACACATTCAGACAGTTTGAGAGGGCTCCTTGTTTCCCCTTGTGGCCGTCGTCACAACTGCAGTTCCCACTAACCTTCAAAAGACTCTTCACTTGGGCAGTGACAGAAAGGTAAGAAGTCTCCTTTTTTAGTGGGACTGACTTCCAGGATGAGGACGAACAAACCGATCTGCCACGACATTAAAACTGCCAACAGGTTCAGTAAATAATATGGATCATCTTGTCACAATATGATGTTCCACATAAAACCTCTTGACCTTCATGTGGATCTTACTTTAACAAATAAGTTCTCCTACAGAACACTGCCGTACCTCAACAACTGCTCAATAATGGCTCGAGGAACACAACCAAGAGTTGTTGACCTGGTCTCTGAACTTTCTCGCCTCACAAAAATCTGTGTTCATATACAAATCAACTGGACGTCCATTTGTTCCTGCGGGAGGCTCCATAATCGCCGATGTGTCTGCAAAACTGCGCTCTGTGACGGCGTATTGAGGGACTTGTTAATGTTACACCAGCGATGACAAATCAAAATACCTGCTGAGAGAAAAACCTCTTTGTATTCCAGGTTGTACTGGACATTTTATCGTACAGTGCTTCTTTTATATCAGGGTGTATTGTGAGCGACTGTTTTTTTAATTTACTCTGTCTGATCTGACCTCTGCTCCGGTCATGATTGTACATTGGCCGGGAAGTGCAAAACAAATTTACAAGTGGCGAAACACTTTTACAAGTAAAATCAACTGGAGAGGGAATGTACCAACTCTGGGATTGAACAGGAAGTGGCAACTGGGAGCGGCCAATAGGAGTTGTTGTTGTCATTTATGGAGGTCATGGTGACCCAAGATAGACAGCGACCGAGTGATGTTTTGCTCGTTTTGTGACACACATGAGCTAATTAAAGCGGTTTTCTGGTCCATGCTCCTTAAAAATTCTAAAGACCGACCACATGAAAAACAAAACTGTGTTAATCGGCTCCTGTGTGCCACAAAACAGGAAAAGCATCACTCGGTCGCTGTCCATCTTGGGTCACCATGACCTCCATAAATGACAACGACTCTTATTGGCCGCTCCCCGTTATCACTTCCTGTTCAATCCCAGAGTTGGTACATTCCCTTTCCGGTTGATTTTACTTGTGGAAGTGTTTCACCACTTGTAAATTTGTTTTGCGCTTCCCGGCCACCGTATGATTGTGTGAATTTATGCTAGAAATTGCATGCGACCACCAAAACAAAAGTCAATTTAAGCATCTTGGTGCATGATCTGGATCTAAAGGAGGAGATGAAGGCAACAGGAAAATCCCAGAAAAGCTTAAAGTGAAATTTGTAACAGCAATTTAAACCACCAGCAGCAGCATTACAGTCTCCTCTCTCATTGATATGCCTCCATCTAGTGGCCACAGGGATCACATGCAGCCCAGGTGAGAGAAAAGCAAATTTTATTCCAACTCCGAACAAAACCACAGGTTACAAATCCAGCATTTACCTCACAAAGAGCCACACGCTAAAAACCATCATCAATAAATATCCGTCTTACCTTTTTTATCAACAACAAGCTGTAACATTTCTCCACACGTGTGAAAACAGGATCGTTACTGTCTTGTGGATGCAAACCGGTGAGATAATTAACTCATCGCTGTCCAAACTGCCTGCACCTGTTGTGTTGGCTGAGAAAGAAGCAGATCTGCTGCGATCACAGAGCGCCGGCTGTCGCTGACTGACTCACTGACGAACATATTTTTTGTGCAGCTGCAATATTAGCGAGTAGGAGGACGAGACGGGAACACAGACGAGGTGACGGGAGAATATTTCACACCAGATCCGATCCTAATATCTTAACAAAGAGAAATGGGGAACATCTTAGGACGCATAAATACACAAAAAATACTCGGACCTCTAATAAAGTGTCTGTGCTCACAGTGTTTCAAGTTTTTCATGGATTACAAAGACCATGAGGTCACATTTGGACCGCCTGGAATGCAAAGTGGCTAAATTACTAAGAGTCTTAATGAGATTTAATGGAATGAATAAAAGCACAAAGGCACACTGTGGGTTTGAATTTCAGCAAAATCTCTGCAGTCTTAAAAAAAAAACAAAGAGAAGAGAGAGAAAAAATAGCGATCAGAGCGTTTTTGGATTATTCCAGGATTTTCCAGGGTTTCTGTTCACACACCGTCACCAGTCTCTTTCTTGAACACTTGGCATTTGTACTTAATGCCATTCTCCTCTTGAATTTCACTCGGTACGCCGGGAAATCTTATTTGGAAACAAAAGAAAAAAGCGTGACTAGATAAAACCAACAAAAACACATAATAGTTATTTGATAAAACAACCAAAATGAATAAACTGAGGTGGGGTTAGAGCACAAGCACTTTCAAAATCATAACATGGGATTTAGAAAAGCTTTTACTGTGAAAGGAAACATTCCAACACAAAGGCCAGTGAGTTTATTTATTTCATGATTTGCTTAAACTGATAATTCATTGCTGTTGATAATAGAGAATATACCAAGACCAAGGCAAAAATCTACCTGAAGTAAACACAATTTACTGATTTTATTGCTCAAATTCGGCGTAATTGAAGAAACAAAGCTGTTCAAAGCTTTGGTGAAGTCAGCGAAACCTTTTGAGCTGAACTGAGGCCTCAGTCTGACAGACAGTGCTGACGTTGGCTTTGCAACAAAAAGCTAAAACGCTGTCTCACGAGGTGCTGGGATGGACGGGCGTGTGTTCAAAATAACTCTTTCATAACTGCTTAAAGCCAGCAAATTCAAATGTGGGGCCTAAAACCCCAAACTTCAATGATTCGGGGGTCGAAAACTTACCTTTCTTGTACCTTAAATACATCTTTGTCAAACTCTGGGAAGTAAACGTCACAGTCAAAGCTGGCCATGACGTCTGTCAGGTAGAGCAAGTCGCACCACGGGTGCTTCAACGCATCCTGGTAAAAAAGAAGAGAACAGTTACAGCATTAACCCTTAACGTAGAGTTTTCTCCTTTGATTCTCACTTGAAGGTTGTTAGAAGTCGTCGTATTCTTCACTGTCTGACAGTATGAGCTTGTTCCAACTCTTTAATTGAATCAAATCTGTGGTGTTTGAACTGAGAGAGACATTCAAACACAAGCTTTTCACGATTAGGCCTTTTTTTTCCTCCTTTGGATAACTGATGTGTATTTTTGCTTTTGAGACTCACTTTCTTAGTCAGTAAATGTAAATGCTTTCTTTTTGGATTCAAACCAAACACTTTGACCTGACTGTTGAC